AATGAAGAAGGTCTCTGCATCAACCTCAACTTGATATAGAAGGAGAGAGACATGGCCACGTCAGGAATGCGTAATACAAACGTCGCATGACTTGGTACTACAATTCGAGGGTGACACCTCACCCCTTCTTACTTGGAGATTTTGTCCTTAAGAAGGTAATACTGGCCACTAAGGACTCACAAAAGGGGAAGTTAGGACACTTACAGGATCAAGAAATTCTGAGGATCAAAAATTTCTACCCCATCCATGGAATGTTGAACACCTAAAGAAGTACTACCAATAGTGTTGTTTTATTTCTTATTTGGATTTGTCATTTTGTACTTTTTAGAGACCACTTGCCCACCGGTTTATTACAGGCAATTATCAAATAAAACTTTGAGGGTTCATCATAGAGATCGTCTTGCTTTCATTTCACAAAAAGTTTAGAAAATAGCACAATTAAAAAAGAAAAAGAAAAAAAGCAAAAAAACTAAAAGTAAAGTTTATCAGGCATCCTCGGCACTCTAGCTACTCTCGTTGTTATCGACCTCCTCACTGCTGCCTGATGCGTTCTCATCAAAATATTCTCCATCGTCAGAAACGCCTACACCTGACTTGTAAAATCCGATAAATTTAAACTTTTGAAAATAAGGGCAAAACAGTAATTTTGTCACTACAGTATGGGTTAAAAATTTAAAATTTTTTGGAACTTGAATGATGAAACGGACCTCACCGTTGTATTCATTTCACAAAATTTAGTTACTCTGTCAATTTTCGTTGAATTCTGAGATAGTCAAAGTTTTCACGTTTTTCAAGGCAACGGACGTCCGATGATCCCAAAAAACGAAATTTTTATAAAAATTTTGAAAGTTGAAAAATATTTTAAATAAAATTCATATAAAATATTTTGAGTTTAAACTGGTACGAAATTCAATTATTTCGGGGCGAAAACGAACCCGGACAAAGGGGAACACGTGGCTCAACTCGGGTCAAGCTTTGGAAAGTATAAATAGGGTGAAATATCTGAAAAATCAGATATTTCTTACCCATTTTCTGGCTGGTTTCAGGCGTTGGAGGAAGAGAAGAGAGAAAGAGAGTTTTTAAGTTTTCTTCCGCCGATTCTCGGAGTTCTGTCGGTCAGAATTCGTCGGCCCAATAATTAAAGTCGATCTATGCGACGAAGGCTACACGTGGGTACCAAAAACAACGATTTTCACCAAAGATTCAAAGGTAAATTTTTGAGAAATCAAGAATTTGGGACTTGTTTTGGTATTTTTTAAGTCTCCACACTTCAAAGAGGTAGGTGTTTTTCTACCTTGGTTCATTTTTCACCTATAGTGTATGTGAAATGTGTAGGTTATTAAAGAGTATATACATATATATATATCACTCACCTATGCATGTGAAATAGATAAAATGGGAATGAAAAAGGGTGAAAAAATGGCTTAGGTCAATTTCTAGTTGTATGTGATATGTAGGAATCACTTGTGAAATCCCTTGAAAATTGAATGTGTTAGTAGCATGAGCTACGTATAACATGTGTGTTGTGAATTGTGATTAAATAGCAAATATTATTTTATGCCTTGAGGAAGTAGGTGTAGAATGGGTTTGATTCAAGTCCTACTTTATTTTGCTATGGGAAAGTACTTGTGTAATTTTTTGGATGAAAGTTGTGTGTGCTTTAATATGTAGTAAAGTGAGTGTGTTTAACTCATACATCAGTGTGTGTGTGTGTGTGTTCTTGCTTGTTGGAAACCTAAAGTAAGAGAGATTAAAAGAAAAGGAAGAAAAACCAAGTTTTAGCTCACATTTAATATGTGGAAGCTATTAGTGTAAACTCTTGAAAAATTGGGTTTACATGGATTGTTTTGTGTATTTTAAAATTTTTCTACCATAGTTGGTTGGATGGAAAAAATGGTAGGCATATGGAACTATATAATTCACTTGCCTATGGTTATGGAGTTGGTGTAGAAAGGATATAATCAATTTCTAGTTTGAAATTGATGGTTTAGTTAAAAAGGGGTATTGAGGATGAGTTGCATGACTTGAGATAAATTATCTTGTTAAATGCACCATTAGTGTATGTTAATTATGGGAAAAGGGTGCCTAAATGTGCTAAATAAATCTTGTAAGAAATGATTTGCAATGGATATAGAAATTGGGTGAAGAAAAGTCGGTACATTTTTCTGCTCCAGACCAGTTGTTATAGAATCGTCATAATTTTTGATCCAACTATTGGATTGAACTGAAATTTGACACAATACAGAAGACATCTAGATATACAACTTTCGTGTTTTGAACGTTTCTAGATTCTGAGTGGATCATGGTCAAAATAGAGAAAAATAGAGGTACTTCCACCAGAGAGAGCTAGTGATGGTGTCTTTGTTACCAAACACCAATACCTCTTTGATTTCTTAACTTCTAAGCCTCCAAATCCTCATGTAATGTGGTCATACCTTCATCACACATCCAATATAGTTGCAAGGTTCTAAAATACTTAATTTATGCTATAAATACTTGCAACATCCAAATATCAACATTATTCATAATTTCAGCTCACTCTAAGTACTTACATGCTCAAGTTGAGTTAAAATGCATGTAATGAGGCCTTCAAATATGCAATATTTTGCACTCATTACTATGTGTTCTTTGGTTTTAAATGAGATATATTGGGTTATATTGGACCTCGATAGGATTAAATTATTAAAGGAACACGGGTTACATGTGCAAGTTAAAATCCCAGACAAATGGATAATAATGATGTGATGTTGACCGTGGATTGACGGAGGGGTTAACGGTTGAAGTCACTTAATATGATTTCTTGAGTTATACAATGAATGTGAGTGAATTATGTGATAACATAATTGGTGCCGTGAAGGTGTTTAATAAAATGTCTTGAGTTATTGAAGTTGTTGTTTGATGAAATAACACACTTGGAAAATGTGGTAAAGCGAAATTACATGCTTATGATGTGATTTACAATTGTAATGTTATGTTGATGTATGCTTAACGATATGTTAGCATTATGATGACCATGGAATTCATATGTTTGGATATAATTGATCATGGGATATGTTGAAATTGTTCATATGGCATTCATTACATATTGAACATGACAGTAGTTTGAAATGATGCATTACATTGCATATGCATGGGATAAACACATTCAGAACCATGAGCATGGGTATGGTTGCATGGTTGGTCGATCATCATCCTTGGTGGTTGGTGGTGGGCTCGGGAAAGTAGGATGGAACATCCTATTGAATCGCACGGTTACATGCATAAGAAAACTTGTGTCAGGTATAGCAAGTAGGGCTAGACACTCCCTCGAATGAAAAACCCGGCCACTTGGTTCATACACTTACCAGCAGTGAAATTCTAGAAAAATGTAACGGCATACAGAGCCGGAGGTGCGATTCCTGAATCCGATACCCAATAAAAGCACATGATTTTAATATATAAATTATTCATTTGATGGGAAACATCCAAGAATGAATTAATTTTATGACATATGATTGATTTTAAAATGATCTTTAGATGTGTTTCATCAAAGACGTTTGTTTTACACATATGCGTCGCATTGTGTTGTGGGAGTCGATGTGGGCTCGGGATGGCATGCATGAGTGAGTTTTGTCTCATTACTTGGCATGACATCATGAGATTCTATCTTAAATAACATATTCTTATTTGGAATGGAAGAAATTGTTTATGGCATGTGTGCATTGCATACGCATTGTAGGTGAGGAGTAGTCTCTGTAAGAGTTTTTCTACTGAGCGTTGGCTCACCCTATACGAAAAATATTTCATGTGCAGGGTGCGTACCGGCGGAGGACTCTCATTCGGGGCCTCAAGGGTGAAGAGGGGTTGACATTTGGCCTTTAACCATGATTGTTTTGTAAACTTTTGTTCAAACTATGTATTGGCATGTAATATTTGTAAAGGAATTATAATTTTGAACTTGTATTAACTATGTTTAATGCATAAACTCATGATGTGAAAGTATGGATAATTGGACCCGGTGTGGTCAATATTTTCTTATAAATGGATCCGGTGTGGTCAATATTTGTATATGGGACCTCGGATAGGTCATGTGATAGTACGGTGCACAGGTTGTGTTTTGGGTAGAGTTTTCCCGTACAAAAAAGACTCTACCCGATTTTGTTAAATTATGAATCCTGATAAATGGGACACAACAGTGTGGTATCGAGTTATACAATATCCACAAGCATTTAGCGGGTTGATGGGCGATCAACCAGACCCCCAAATTTTGGGGTGTCACACTACCTCTCATATAGGACAAATGCCAAAAAAACTATGCTGGGAAAAAAAGTTGAAGCTTTCCCCCTAAACTCCTCATAACCATTAATGAAAGTGTCTGTTACACTATTCTATAGGTCATGAACAGCTTCCTATGTAGCCTCCCTTCTCCTCTATTTCTCTTGGGAGTCTGCCTCTACTCTAATAGCACTCTCATGAGCAACCTAAAGCTCTGTCTCTGCCGTGACAACCCTCTCGTGAGCTACTCGCTGCTCTGCCTCTGCTGCAATGGCTCTCTCATGAGTTACCTGTAGCTCTGCCTCAGCTTTGACAACCCCCTCATGAGCTAACTGCAACTCTACCTCTGTTCTCTCGCAAGTAGCCTTAGTATTAGCCTTCAGCTTAGTTGCTCTCTCACGAGTTATCAAAAATTGAGCCTCAAGAGGTGCAACTCTTTCATGAGCCTTCCACAATTGCCCCTCAACAGCCCGCATTGTCTATCTTTCCTTCATCAGAGTTATCGATGTCTGCTCATATTGACCACCCCTCACAAAAAGACATATAGTGGCCGCAGATACCTACAAGTATACAAAAAGAGGAAAAGATCAGTACAATCAGAGGGTGAAAACAATAAAACTCCACCAAAAAAAGTAAATATGATTACCCTAGCTAAACCCTTCATCATGGTATCAATAATGCCCTCAGTACCCTGATAGCTAACTTCCCTAATCTCCAAGAGTGACACAAACTTTAAGAGTTTCTCCCTAAGCCACATCACTCTTTTCAGAGACTGACCAAATGCCGTTCTCCGTTAAGATCAATCGATTTCTTGACAATAGGTAGAAGAGGTTTTCCTCTATGCCGGTGAATTGAGACAAGGAGATTGTCTCAAAAAAACTTCTCTTCCTCTGCTTCATCCCTGCCCCACCATCAGACAATGATAGAATGGCCTGTGATTAAGTGATAGATTGGTTGATGCCCGAAGAAGGTGAATTGAATGATAGATTGATTGACGTCTGTGATGAGTCTGAAGGTGAATTGTAAGCCCCAACAACAAATGAACCTATGCACAGAGCATTTTCGGGGTTTAGCCTCCTTCCTTCAGCAACATTAACATCTTGAAGCATGGAAACTGGACCAGTGCTGGACATTGGAGAAACAGATGGCGTTTTAGTCTGCACAAAAATAAAGGAGTCACTATCTCTGAAGATACCCTGACTGGCAGAGCAGCCGAGTGAGGCACTTGGATAACTAGAACAGGTGGAAGAGTCACCTTCGGGGAATCGATGGGGGCATCACCGAATCTCACCCTCTTGGGCAGAGAAGTCACCTAGGTAGCCCTGGTAGAGTAGCAAGCCTCCACCCTCAATCTATTTACTGCAGAACCTAAATAAAAGGAAATACTTTTCAAAAATTGAAAATACCACTGCACTCACCATTAAAAATAATATACCTCTCTTCTTGGAAGAGGAGCTATGAGGCTGTGGAGAAGAAAATGAAGTGGAAAAACCTCATCAGGGGAAACCTCCAACCTAACCCACTCCAGCTATAAGAACTATATAATCCTTAACAGGATGGGTTGTCACGGCCAGAAGCATTTTCTCTTGATCCATTGACAATTCTAGAAAACTTGAAAAAAAGCTAAATGCATGGAGAAGACGTAAAGGAAACATCAATAAAATAAAGCTAAGGAAATAAAGGCTTGTACCTATCCTTGTAGGTGTACCCCCATCTACTTGGAATCAGAGCGCGGTCCTCCTCAGTAGCCCACTCCTTTTCTAGAAATAAAAATCGAGCCTTCTAACCATGACAGTTGGATCGTATTCCGGTAATCAACTTTCCTACCCTCGGAGAGAAATGGTATCAACCTCGATTCGGAGCAAGGGGTTCTCCTGTAACATATAAGTGGCAAAAAATTCTTCACAAGTGGGACAAGCCCCCACACCATGCAACTATTGCCACAATGAGAGGAACGCCAAAAATACCCTCCAACCATTTGGAGCTAGTCGTGCTGGCAAGAGAGACAACTGTGCCAAAACATGACACACAGGCATAGGAATGAGAAATCTTAAACCTACCTCTAGCATCTCTTCATAAAATGAAAATGTCCCCAGATGAATCATTAGAAGCAAGCTTGCCCATCTTGGCCCAACTACATAGCACAATAAGGGGAATACAAAAGGTGAAGACAATCCTAACAATCTCAGCATTGGTATTGATAGTAGTAAAAATGGAGCTCACCTTAGAGCCATCGTCATCAATAGCCACTTTACGCGATACCTGCATCGCGGTGTGCATGGGGGAATGCTAGTTCTAGCTTTATCACCTCTTGCTTGGCTACCCGAATTATCGCCATCTGTACCCAAGCACCTGTACCTACTCTGGAGCCTACACCTGCCCAAGCATCTGTCATGCCCCTGCCTCCAGCGACCATGACGGCCATCTTTCCTACTTCTCGTAATTTGTACCTATGGCACCTGCTCCGTTGCCCGTGGCACTCGCTTCAGCGCAGCTCTTGGCACCCTGAAATGTGCCCAATGCCCCAGTGCCCACTAACTGTGTCCCCATGCCTGCCTCGCGTGCTCTGCCGCCCATGGCACCCTGCACGTTGTCGCCCACGCCCCTGGAGCCTTGCATGACCACCTTGCCTCTCTTGTTCTTCTCACCTTTTTCCATTTGACTTAGGTGTACAAAGAGTTTCTTTAGCCTTCAAAGTTAGTGTCTGATCCCCTTCAAAGTTAGTGTCTGGTCTCCTATTTAAAGGATTAACCAAGGAGCTTCTGCTGCCAAGTAACTCTGTTGTTAAAAGTGTCCTACCGTCAAAAAGGCTATTGCTGCTAAAAGAGTCCCCTTGCCACTAAAAATATTATTGCTACTAGAGGAGCTTTGTTATTGCCACTAAAAAGGCTTCTAAAAGGGGAACAAGTCAACATCGCAAGATCTTTTACTGATGCCCTCTCCCCCAAATCTTGGACTCAGGGCATGGGGGCAAATGATAGCCCAGTCCCAAACTAGGCCTTGGATTGCAGAACAAGATCGAACCGCAAATATGGACTGGAAAAGGCCTAGTAATGAAGAATTATGATTTTATCCATTCAGAATAAGGATTGTCCTTTCCCACGAATGGAACATGGTACATGAAAATTTTATTTTTTTGTTGAATTGTGGTTAAAGTTCAAATTCAATGAAAAATAGGTGTTTTTTATGTGTCATGTTCCATTCACGGGAAAGGACAATCCTTATTTTGAATGGATGAAATCATAACTCTTCGTTACTAGGCCATTGTCGGTCCATATCCTTGGTCCGATCTTGTTCTGAAATTTTGGGCCGGGCGTATCACCACTAAAAAATAATCACAAAATCTCAATGAACCATACCAATTTTAGAGACCAAAGTAGAGAGAGAGAAAGAAAGACAGAATCACAGGTCCAACGCAAGCCTAATTCTTCATTACTCCAACGATGTGGGTCATGTTGTGCATCTCTGTGCGTATGGATTTGGGCGTTTGTGTTGTGGGTGCATTTTTATGGTTTTGTTCTATTTATATGCTAGGGTTTGAGATAGAGAGAATGGGTTGGGTTTGGGGGGGGAGAAGAAAGAACAAGAGCAAGAGGGATTTGTGGGTTTGCGAGAAAGGGGCGAACATAAATGAATTAGAGAGAGAGAGAGAGTAAGATGCAAATATAGGGATTTGTGGGGTAGGGAAAGTAGAGGCGAATTGGAGGTGGAGAATGAGAGAGGATGGCAAAATCCGTGGCCCAAAATGCAATTTCTAGCACACTATCAAACCTATCTCTAGATCCTTCATCAGATATTCTAGAAATTGTTGTTCAACTAATAGATCTCATTGGCAAGGAATACACATCAACCTGCGCCCCTTCTCCTTGTCCTTACCTATTTCTCTCAGCCAACAACACTCCATATCAAAATAAAAACTCTATGTGGAGAGGGGGAGAGTGAGAGAGAGAAAGAGAGATTGTTGGCAGTGCGATTGGTGGTTGATGGGTGTTTGGTTTAGATGGTGTTTGGTGGTGGAGGCATGCTTGTGGTGTTGGTTATGGGCAGTGGAGGCATGGGGGAAGGTTGTGTCCAAGTGGATTTCAATGATGGGAATGGGGAATCAAATCCATACACATACACACACACACACACACACAGAGAAGGTTAAGCGACTCACTTGCCCTTGAGATTTTCTCACATGCTTCTCATGTGTTCTTTTTCATCACTTTATTGGACAGCAGTTAGGAATAAAGACTAAAGTGAGTCAATGTGTTAACATGGAAGATGAAATTAACGAAATTAAATCTTTAAGGACAAAAATGTAACAAGTGGCAAACTTCAAGGGCTAGCTATGCAATTTACCCTTAAAAAAGGCCATATGCAATCTTCATGACTTGGTTGAAGTGATTGTGCATCTAAATTCTCCATACATTCTCATAGGATAAGTATAGCATACCTCAAAATAAAATTTAGTTCCATATAAAAATTGATTATAACTAAAGAATAATTACAATAAAATAAAATAAAAATTGTCACATCAATTCTTATTGGGTGAAAAATAAAAATGTTGTACCAAATTAATAGTCCTGAACATTAATCTAAGGATTTGAGATTAGTAGTTGGTTTAATGACTCCCTTTCTCGCGGTTAGGCATTAAGATTAAGGGTTTGAATCTTATCGTCTCTTTCGTTTAATGTAAATCTAAGAATGTATACCATTCACGCGCTTACACAGAATGTAAAGTCTACTCACCTTCCCAATTTAACCTCTACTTTAGTCCGAATGTTCACATACGTGGTGGTGGCAATGCTCTCAATTTTTTTTTTCCTCAAAATGGATATGTCGATAGGTTCCCCTACATATATCTCAGGGATTATTGCCCCCAAAACCACAGTTATCTGCAAAAGATCTCACCACACCTACCTCGGGCCAAAATTAAGGTCTTACCTTGTGTTTTAAGTGCTAACGAGTAGAAAATTCGAGTTTTTACTCACTAGACCAACCCTCGCTGGTAATGCTCTCATTGTTCAAAGGACAATCAGAGGTATTGTTTTATTCTGGATATCGTTAATATGATCCGTTTTTTGAACCTTCAATTACTAAAAATAGAGAGATAAGCTGAATGTGGAAAATTTTTGATTGATGATATGCATATATAGGCACCTATTTATAATTAACATTAGTATATTTTACATTTTTGAAAAAATGATTGTCGACCATGCTATTTTTTTTTTTGAAAAAAAAACTAAGCAAAAATTGGAAAAAAAATATAAAAGTTTTGTGCTTACATAAAGCTACTTTGGTTGTTTATTGGATTCTTGAATTGATCATTTCCATCTTAAGTTGTTAGATTTATCATCGTCTTTGTATCAGCCTGAAGAAAACTATTAAATTGAAAAAAAAATGGTAGATTAAATTTAAAGAGAATTATTCTTGATATTATATTCATGGGAGATAATTCACCCGGGAGCATGCTTCACTTAGACCATACCCATTTTAAATTTATTTGTTTTGCTTTCTTAAAGTACATTTCTGGTGCAAATCAAATGCTATATATTTTTCATTTTGTACTTCAAAAAATCAATATAATAAGCGTGTGAGAAGTTTGAATCTTATCCCCACATATTTTTTTTGTTTATTTCTACCACATCACATATTTCTATTAGAAGTTGAATTATTTAACTTTTTATTAATTTGTGGTCTAATACAATTTTTATTTTAGACATTATTCGTATACGATAGTGAATATATATTGATAATTTTTTGAGTTTATATATTTAAAAAGAAATTGTCAAATTTTTTTATTTAAAAAATAGGTAAAAATTAATTTTCAATTATGTAATTCACTAAAAGGAAGGAAACAATATTATTTGATATAATTGTACCGATTTTTTACCCTTCTCCTTGTCCTTCCCTATTTCTCTCGGCTAACACTTCACCATCATTGCTCCCATGTCAAAATTGATATCAAAATCAAAAATCTGTGTGGAGAGAAAGAAAGAGATAGAGACAGAGAGGCAGATAGATAGAGGGAAATTGTTGTCAGTGCAATTTTGGTTGATGGGTGTTTGGTTTAGATGGTGTTTGGTGGTGAATGAATGTTTATGGTGTTGGTGATGGGTAGAGGAGGCATGGAGGAAGGTTGTGTTCAAGTTGGTTTTGACGATGGGAATGGGGAATAAAATCCACACACGCACACAACGAGCGAGAGAAAGAGAGAAGGTCAAATGACTCACTTGTCCTTCAGACTTTTTCCCTTGCTTCTCATGTGTTCTTTTTCGTCATTTTTATGGACGACAATTAGGGGTAAGGCCCAAAGTGAGTCAATGTACTAACATGAAAGTCAAAGTACTAACATGAAAGTCAAAATTGACGAAATCAAAACTTTAAGGACGAAAGTACAACAACTAGCAAACTTCACGGACTAGCGATGCAATTTACCCTTTAAAAAAACGCCATATGCAATCCTCATGACTTGGTTGAAGTGATTGTGCATCTAAATTCCCCATACATTCTCATAGGATAAGGATAGCATACCTCAAAATAAAATTTTAGTTCCATATAAAAATTGATTTTGGTTTGATAGGAGTCATTAACTAAAGAATGATTACAATAAAATAAAATAAAAATTGTAACATCAATTCTTATTGGGTGAAAAATAGATATTTTGTACCAAATTTATAGTCTTGGACATTAGTCTATAGATTTAAGATTAGTGGTTGATTTAATGGCTACCTCTCTCACTGCTAGGCATTAAGATCGAAGGTTTGAATCTTTTCATCTCTTTCCTTCAATATTACATGACAAAAAAAAAAATTAAGAATGTATACCAGTCACGCGCTTACACAGCACCTTAAGTCTACTCACCTTCCCAACTAAACCTCTACTTTAGTCCGAATGTTCACATACATGTGGTGGCAATGCTCTCAATGTTTTTTTTTTTACTCAAAATAGATATGGAGATAGGTCTCTCTATATATCCGTCATGGATTATTGTTATCAGTATCACACAGCTAGTATTTTCAGCACTGAAAAGTAGAAAATTCGACTTCTTACCCACTAGAACAATCGAATACCTCGCTGGTAATGCTCTCATTGTTCAAAGGACAATCAGAGGTATTATTTTATTCAAGATATCGTTAATATGATATGTTTTTTGAACCTTCAATTACTAAAAATTGGGAGATATATATGTTGAATGCGGAAAATCTTTGATTGATGATATATGCATATATAGGCACCTATTTATTAGCATAAGTATATTTTACATTTTTGAAAAAATGATTGTCGGGAATGCTATTTAAAAAAAACAAACTGAGCAAAAATTGAAAAAAAAATTATAAAAAGTTTTGTGCTTACATAAAGCTACGATAGATTAAATTTAAAGAGAATTATTCTTGATATTATTATTCGTGAGAGATAATTCATCTTGGAGCATGCTTCACTTAGAGCATACCCATTTTAAATTTATTTGTTTTGCTTTCTTAAAGTTCATTTCTGGTGCAAATCAAATGCTATATATTTTTCATTTTGTACTTCAAAAAATCAGTATAATAAGTGAGTGAGAAGTTTGAATATTATCCCTACATATTTTTTTTCGTTTATTTCTACCACATTACATATTTCTATTAGAAGTTGAATTATTTAACTTTTTATTAATTTGTGGCTTAATACAA